ATAAATAAATAAATAAATAAATAAATAAATAAATAAATAAAATGCATGTGAGGTATACCTTTTTCTCACATTTTAACATCTGTGAAATCAACACCCATCATACAAATAGTAACATCTCCCCCATTATTACCTGCAGACAGACACAGCTGCCACTGCCTCTGAATTCACAAACTGGTCAATCATTCCTAGAGATATGACTGAGGAAGCCAAGAACTTGGTGCTTCAAATATTAAAAGGCCATTTATTTGAGAAAGGATATCAAGTTTTTTTTTACGGTCTGAAAACTTTGACAACTTTAGTAAAATTTAAAAAATAACTTTCCTGTACCCAAAAATAAACTTCCTATTTACTCATCAAGTATTAGATAAGTACAAATTAGGAGATTTCTACAAGTAATGGTCCTGTAGGCAAGAGGATTACCATAAATTTGAGGCCAGTCTGGGACATATAGTGAATTCAAGGACAACCTGAACTACGGAGTAATATCTTGTCTCAAAAAAACAAATAAATGGCCAGTGAGATAGCTCAGCAGACCAAATCTGCTTATGCAAGCAGGGACCAGGATTTGATCCCCAACCCCACCCATGGGGGTGCTAAGAAGGCCACAAGACCTGGCATTGTAGTGCACACCAATAATTCTACCATTTGGAAGGCTGAAAACAGGAGTATCACTACAAGTCTGAGAGCTGTGTAGTGAGACCCTGTATCAAATACATTAAAAAGTAAACAAACCAACAAAAGGTTTTGGACTAAAAAGGTTTGATGGCCAGTCGTGGGCAAAGTATCTATAATCCCAGAATTTGAGTGGCTAGGGCTTGCCAAGGGGTTAAGGTTTTCTGTGAGTTCCAGGCCAACCTCTACAGACACCTTATCGCAAAAGAAATGAACCTCTGACAACTAAAAATACTGAGTGATCCTAAATTGTGTGCTGGAATTGGCAGGGAAAGCAATGTGAACTGTACAAACATTATTAAAATAACTGAAGAAATGTGAAGACAGCTCTGGATGTGTTAACAGTATTGTATCAATGCTGAAC